CCAGTAACTCATTTGTTAAAATATTATATTAACATCTGGAGTCACCTTGGTTACTATAAATATGACCTTTTTAGTTATATAAATCAATAGATATCCTGTTGAGGAAAATTTAGAAGGCACCTGATGTTAATTAGATTTGATGTAGTGGACAGTAAGAAACCAAAAGAAAAATCTTAACATTAATTGTACTAATGTGTAAATAATATTTTTAAAACATAATTTATATCATTTATGTCTATTACATTATTTCTTATTCACTTTGTGCCACTTACTAAGTAAGATCCAGATGGCATGGGAAGCATGCTTATTTTAAAAACACAGAGATGTCTTTCAGAAAAATTATTTTTCTGTTATACGTCATTCACATGCCAAGAACATGCAATCTCACTCAGGATATCGTTGCATTTTTTTCAAAGACCTGAACTTATCTTATTAAGAATAAAATACTCAGAAAGTTGATGGACATGGTAATCACCGTGAATAGTGTGGATAGGAAGAAAAGCAAACATAGTTTATAACCACAAAGAGAAGATAATACTGGATTGCATTTGCTGGGTCATTCAAAGTGGATCTGAGCAAGAGAATAAAGTGATACAGTGTTTCTAGCTTGTGTTAAAAATAACCTGCTGTTCAAACTTTCCTCTAAATGATGTTTGAATACTTGAACATTCACTTGTTGTTTCTGAGAACATTCTGTTTATGTATTGAAAATCCTGATAGATATCATCTTTCTCAGTATAAATGATGATAAGTACAGCTAGCACACACATACAAATAGACATAGAGGTTCATGTGAAGATTAATATGAAGTCAGAGTTTAAAATAAAAAAACATTTTAATGCTCATTTAGTGGAAAACACAAAATATGTAACATGTATTTTTAGTGTTTCACATGGGTGAGTCTTAATGAGGATGTTAAATAATAAATCAAAGAGAGGGTGTTAATTTATTTATAACAACTTGTCATAATCTTTCCAAGTAAAAAATACCAGCACATTGAAGACACACTGAAGGAAACTTAGTGATGATTCAGATGATGACTTTGTACAGCCACGCAAGAAGCATCTCCAAACCATTGTGGAGCAGCTGTTGCTTAAATAAAGCAGCGCCATTGGTGCAAAAAATAGTGGGGGAGGAAAGGAAAGAATAGGATAAATCTGATTCTCACTTACACATAAACAGTACACTAAATAATACACAGAAAATCACCTCAGCCCATCTTGGGATATATTATTTGGTGTACTGCTCCTTTGAATACTGGTTCAGAAATGACCCTAAAGGGACAAAAATAATTGTTGATACAAGTAAAATTTAAAAAATACTAAAATGTACCAATGAACAATGAAAACAAACAAAACAAAACACTGAAACACTTCTCTAAATATTCAAAAAAGACCCCAGTCTTTAATTAGAAAAATTGTGTTGGGCAGTTAAAATGAGATTGTCCCTCTGTTTGTCAATTCCCTGATCCTAGGGGAAGAGAGCTTGTTCTTCTCAATGTTCCAAGCCCCTAGCTCTAAACATTTGCTTGCATACCTTGAGTAGAGAGCAAAAATCCCTGAAGAAAGTAATACTTGTAGCCTGGCATGGTGGAGCACGCTTGTAATCCCAGCACTTGGGAGGCTGAGAGAGGAGGATCGCTGTGAGTTCAAGACCATCCTGGGCTACATAGTGAGTTCCAGGTCAGTCTCAACTACATAGTGAGATCCTGTCTCAAAAAACAAAACAAAACAAAACAAAACAAACAAACAAACAAAAAAACACAAAAAAAGAAAGTAATACTTGTGCTCGGAGTTGGTTTTGACTATTATTTAATAGATTGTTAAATCTTGGTCTAGTTTTTTGTTTTGTTTTGTTTTTTTAATTTATAAATATATAGTTTCCAACTGTGCTGTTCTTTTCTTTCTTATTCAAAGAATTATGAGATTTTTTAATTTGATAGCTATTCATTATTTTCATATATTTTAGGCTTCTATTTTTCTTTTATTTTGTTCCGTATTTCTAGACATCATCTATAGAAGGAGCATAGGCTAGAAATACAATGATCAAGATATTACTCCATTTAATATTTCACTTTTATTAATTCATTGAATAATATATAATTTATTTAAATTTCAATTTTTAAGCAGGATAGAAAATACTTAAATGATCAAAAAGTAAAAGTTACTTTTGTGACAAATCTAAAGTAGAAAGATAGTTACATCTGAGCCAGTAGAATTTTTCCCTACTTGCCTCCACTAGTTTAAAATGATGTTATCTGAACACCTTGCAGAAAATTTTTTAAAATTGCATTTTTGAGGCATTATGATTTAAGTGAGATTTCATGATGGTCAGCATATTTCAGCTGCCATATTAAGTTTCTCTAAGGAACAAAAAAACAAAAGTAAAACCGAAATCGATCTACCTTCTCTTTAAGAAAAATTGCTCTTCCTAAATTTTACCATGAAGAAATAAACTACCCTACAAGTTAAAACTGGCCTATATATTTTTATTCTCAAAGTCAGTAATGTTCTTAATTATTATATTAATTTCATAATTCCCACATAAAAAATTTTCTGTAAAGATAAAATTTGTATGTTTTCAACAAGAAAGGTACTTTCCAATTTAAAAACTATAGTCATGTTAAAAGGATTGGATTTTTGAAAAGCATATACAGCAATCCTTCATTTTCCATGGTTTTATGTCCATCATTTTAGTTATTATTAACTTGTATTGCAGAAGTATCAATGAAAAATTCCAGAAGTAAACTATTTGTAAGTTTGAAATCAAACAGTGCAATGATCTTGTGTCACTATGTTCCATCCCTCCAAGGAAGTGAATTAATTCTTTTTCCATACTGCATATGCTTCCCACACAACTGGAAGGGGGGGGTGGCAAAGGGGCTATCACATTTATGTAACTTATGTAGTATATTGTTACAATTCTATATTACTAGTTGTTGCTAATATTTTATTCTTCCTGGATTATATATTAAATATCATAGGGATATATGCATGGAACAAACACAGTTCGTATAGAGCTGAGCATTATCGGTCACTTCAAGTATCCACTGGGGTCTTGGAACATACCTCATGCACAAAGAGGGACTATATATTATGAAAATCTGTTCATGTTGATGTAGCATACAATCCTTTATGATCCTGTTGCTATGATAAAAAATTAGCAAGTGCTAGAAAGAATCACAATTATCATGTAATAGTATTTACATAGGTAACAGGTTTCTTGACTAAAAATGACTTTTAAAACAATTCATGTATCTGGCCCCAAAACTCTTTTAATTATTGATAGCTGTTTCTGTTGCTATTAAAAGTGTTACAAATTGTTATGCTCTTTCCTAACTACAGACTAACACAGTTCCTTAAGGCTTGATTTTTCAGTGGTCATTATCTCTAGTTTGAACATAGAAATCAGATCCAAATCAAAAACTCTAGAAAAAAGTGTGCATGTCATTGCTCTCACCTCAATATTTTCAAGTGAACCCAGAAATCTTTCTTTCTGAATTGAATTAGTTGTTTTGTTTTGCAGTGACTTTATGAAACACTAAAACATACAAACAAACAATAGGAATCAGGCAAGAAAACAGCAAAAATTGGGAAAAGTTTTTCTCTAAATAAAATGGCAATCAAATCTTCTTCACTCTCTGCCTGACTATTTTCTGTACTGAATGTCCTTGCACAGGATTTTCATTGAACTTTAAAGGGCTAGATCCCTGGAACTAAAATTAAAATCTGAAGAAGGCATCTTTTGAATTTAAAAATAATGTACACAAATAAGAAACAGAAATAAACAAAACAATACAAAATGAAAAGTGACTTCAGAAACTAATAATAAGTACACAAAGTACACAAGAATTTTTATTACATTTGCAAGCACTTTGTTCTACATTTCAAAAACGCCACCATCAAGCTGTTGGCACATTTATGTACAAAACAGATTAACTGTAATGCCTGCTACAAAGCACTCTGTGAAAATACAAACTCTAATACCAGAAATGAAAGCCAAAACTGTCAACATTGTTACATAAATTTGAAAGACAGGTTTAAAAATCATCACAAACTGTAAAGACACAGAACTGAAACACTATAATATAGAATTAAAGAAGCCCATTAATACTTTTGCTGAATATCTTTAATACTGCATATATCAGAAAAAATGTTGAACCAGTAAGATAATCTAAGTGTAAAAAAAAGCCAAACGAACTCCAGATCAATTAATTCTATAGAATGCATAATCATGCCACAGATAACCTTAATATTACCCCCCTACCTACTACAAGAACTTGTAAAATTACTGATGATGCATGACTAGTAGTTGTACAAAGATTGGTTCACTCAATATATTTTATTAGAAATGCACTTACACCAAGAAAGGATTTCACAATGGTCAAATCAGTGCACAACACTACCTAGTTTTATACACTGACAAAAATGTCTTGTCAGGTTACATCATTTTAAAAGACACTTTACAGCATTCTTGTAGCATTAGAAATAATCAAAAGAAGAGTCAAGGTTAAAACAACACCAAATTTGGTCCAATAATACTGATTGCTTTTTCTTTAAAATTCCTTTGATACAGGTACTTCTTATAAATGAGTAGGAATGAACATTCAGTTAAAATGACTTACTTGAAATATAAACACAAATATATCACTACACTTTCAAACAATACATTCTATAGTGGCCTCTGACCACACTTTAGAAAACACTACAGGTAAACCAACATAGATTGGAAGGCTGCAAGCAAAGCTATCATATTAATGGAAACCTTTGCAAATATATCATACACATTTCAGGAATAGTTTACAGAGGTGCAATCCATTCAGACTTTTAAAGTAGGTAAATCAAGTTCTGAGGGGTTAGTGTGCTTATTTTTAATATACCACCTTCATAAAGGTAATTAATTTTCCACATTAGCATATTAAAAGTTCCAATCCAGCCACTTCCTAAATCACAGAGATCATTCTCCAATAATCCACAGTAGTTATTTCCATTAAAATGTTCTCTACACTACACTTTAAAAGGTAATCCTGGTGTCACAATCTTAAAAAGGCAACTAGCCATGCATTAGCATTACTGTTTCTACATGCTCACAACAGAAATATGAGTGATCAGAGAGAAATTGTTTGTAAGTACATCAAGAAAAAAATACAATGTTAACAAAGATAAGAAGCACTTTTTAAAACCTACTCTTATAAATTTAGAAATTGCACCTTAGATTGATGAAAACATTAACCAGGGCCTGCGGTATGTGGCCACTGATCTCCAGACAAGATTTCCACATTTCAAGAGGAGGCATCGTGATGTCAACTCTGTCTGTTCTGAATGTACAGTGGTCCCTTTGAAGGTTACCTGTAGTTAAACTAGTTACCAAAATCAAAACTAAAAAGTATAAAAAGCTGTTTTCTTTTCAAAACATAAGAAATAATGCAAAAAGTGTTATGTGCAACACATGAGAAGTGGTTAAAAATCAAACAAATCTGCAATTGATAATGTTAGTATCTTGATCTACAGAATTATTAAATAAGTTTGAGAAATGTTTAAAAAGAGTGAATAGGAGCTTGTAGAAGAGATCTGATACCAATTTAACAAATTAGGAAATTAAGTGCTGAACAAATAATTGTATTCAGGTGATTCATATGTCACCCCACGTTATCATTGATGAGAAGCACTTTCATTTTGTTTTCAAAGGTTGAATGGTTGGATGGACCTTAGTTAAACACCAATGCATTCAAATGGCAGAAAGAAGAGAATATTTTATTTATGTGTATGCATTGAGCCGCTCTTTGGAGCGAGTGGAATGGATGTCATGAAGCTCTTGCTCCTCCTTTGACTTGATGTCTTCATATTTCTGCATCCGGCAGGCATCTTTCACATAGGCCCAGTTGGCAGAGAGAACCATAAGGTAGTGGACCTAAGCAAAGACAAAAAAAAAAAATTTACACTGAAAGTCTTTTCACTGTCTTCATTGCATCTTGCTATTAGGAGAGTAATATTCAAATCATACATTATAAGAAAAATGTGCATATTTTAAAAGAAACCAATATTTCTATGGTAATAAGATACTTTATATTCCTTATTCAATCAATTATTAGTGTCTAGCTTTTCTTCTTTTTTGACTCTAAAGTAATCCTAGATCATTTCTAATCTTTAGGTAATGTTTCTGCTACATTCTGCCCACATTTAACCCAACTTTAAGGTAATATATGTCATGTTCACGTTATCTGTTTAATAATCCATAATCAGAAATATTGTCATAAAAATTTCGTGCATAAGTAACATGAATTAATAGGAGATTGTACTGCCTCACTATGCAACATGAACTGGGATCATGAAACTGCAAAATGTATCTGTGCATTTATTTATCAAGATAATTTTCCATGCAGTGAATTTTGCTATTTTCTTTAGATGACATTTCAAACTACAAGACAGAAAATACTATGCATATGGGTTATTATATTTACAATACATTCAAAATAATCAGAAATGTGCCGTGTTCAAAAAGCAAACTCCTAACTTGTCTTGAGCAAAAAAGTTGCTCAAATAATGGCGTTCTTGTTCTGATTTGAATTGAGTCAGCGGTGAGACCATGTGTTTGTTTATCTTCCAATTCTTCCCTCTCACCTTTCAAAATACAGTGATTTTCCACAGGATAGATTTGACAGATGAACAGAAAAGAGGGCTAAGTTGTCAATTATCTATTTTCTGTGAGCTTTAAAGGGTAGCTATGTTTTTACCAAAATTTAGAAGATAGAACAATAAATATTTCGATAATGACAAGAGTATATTGAAAGGCAAGAGGCAGAGTTATTACAAAAAATACAGATGTATTATAAACAATACAAAGTCAAATATAGTAGTAACTATTGTGGTATATTCAGGTAGTCAATGGATAGTGAGAATATTAAGCAAAATATTCTTAGAGAAAATATGGCACTTACTGAGTGAAAGTTTAATCATGGTACACAAAAGTGAATAAGATAAGGCTTACCCTGTACTATAATTTATGTGATATTTTCTTGTTGAAATATCAAGTGCAGTGGAAAGTGCTTACTAAGTAGTAGGTAGTCAAAATATTTGCCAAATGAATGAATGTGTTTTTACATGTCCAAACCTTTCCTTTCAATTTCTGAGAAAATATGATTATTAAAATATGATTATTATTTTTCTTAACTATCATATTAAATGTCATAATCACTGAAATTTTATCAAACATTATGTATATTTGTAATGATGCCTATTTAAGTTGAGCCTTGTTTTTGAACCTTTGCATTTGTCCATTCCCCAATTTTTTCAAAAAATAAATGTATTTCCTATGAGCTTCAGGTGTGACAGATAAATGGCCATCTCTATAAGCAAGGAGCTTTTAACATAAATTGCAAAGCCAAGCACTGAACTGTGAATTCTTACCATAGCAATAACTGCTGCTCCAGCTCCAGCAAGTGCCACAATAAACAAGTGGAAGGTCATGTTTAGCTGCAAGGAAAACCACAAGGAACCAAAACGTGTCAGTTACCCAAAGAAGAGAACTCTTACTGTACATTGCTGACAAATGTGAGCTTTGGAAAAATCATGTGTTTGCTCAAAAGACATAATGGCAATATATTTTCTCCTGCAAGTAGCCTTCCAACTGCATTGTCTTTATAATCTCACTATGAGGATGCAATTGAGATTGATAATGGTGATTTTCTGGAACACTGTAGCAATATAAAGCTGTGCTGTCTATAATTATCCATCATTAAAATGGGTCATCTAAAATATTCATAAATTGCACTGAAATATGGAAAAGTCACCTTCTTATTTGTTCTACACACCCCCTCCATAGCACCCCTGCAGAGGAAATTATCTCTAAAAGTAAAAAAGGGAAACTCAGCATAATTTTAATTATATTATGTTCTGTAAATACAAAATGAATGCTACAATTCTGACAAGACTGAAGAGTTCAAGGACACTCACCTCAGTAGATTCACACATCCTCAGGAAGTTCTCAGAGACAGTGCAAATTTTCTTTTCCTCTCCAATTGTCACAATCCCTACAACATGTATAAGATTACAAGTTACATTATGAATGCTTTTAAGATTCTAGAGATTAAAAAAATATATATTTGGCTGACCTAATCTCAGCAAGTTCCTTTTTATGTTAGGTTATAATGGACAAATTCTTCTTTAGCTTTTACTGTGAATAACAATTGTGCATATTTTCTGATTACAAGATGCAAAACCATCCCTCAAGCAATTTAAAATATTTTTAATTGAGTTTATTGGTACATTCTAGGTGTACAGTACAGTTACACTCATTACTGTGACCTTGTACCTTTCCATGACAGGTCTTGGTTCTCATTTTTTTCCCCCTTGTCCCTACCTTCCTGAATTCAACTGAATCTAGCCACCAGAATTTTCAGATTCATTTGTAGTTTCTTCAGTGGTTTGGACCATAATCGTGATGATGTAGGCATCATAATTATTTTAATAGCTATGTCCTTTACTCTGCTGAAGTCAGAATCTAAGTTCCATTCACACAATGCTTCCATTAGTCGGTAAAGGCATATTGCCTAAAGAGGTATTTCTTCTGCTGCTAACATTGGCAACAAAGCTATTATCTGGGAGAATTGAAAGTTTCCATTTCACTCTTCCTATGGATGCTAACTTGGCTACTTTCCCACATTCCAGGCCTGCCTTCTTTTTTTTTTTCCTTCCTTCTTTCTTTCTCTCCCTCCTTCACTTCCTCTTTTTTTTCCTTTCTTTCTTCATGAACTTCACTGAACATGAATTTGAGTGCAAATCCAAAAACCTGATTATAGTCATTAATGTGTATCTATCTTTGAATGGCCAAATTAGCCTAACCAAAATTTTAGTAAATTATTCAGATTTAAGTAATTTTTTCTAACCTATGATTTAATGTATCTATTTACTCTCCATATAAAAAAATTAGTTACCATAAATGCATCAGCATTTGCTCTTTCTTTAAAAGCAATAGGAGAAATGGCAAGAAATGAGAAATAATTGGACAAGAGAAGCATCAACACCTGGAAGCAAGGGAAGAGAGGAGAGAGAGCAGTGAGCGCCACATGCCTTAGAGCTGTGGCTCAGGCTTTCCCTGGACTCTCTTGTAGTCTACAGCCCTGGTAAACTGTAACAGTATATTTCCAGTACTGTAAGAATTTGTTGTGCCTGCGATATGAAAAGCTTCAGAGAAAGTTGCACACATTATGCCTGTGTAGTCACTATTGCTTTTACCAGTGAGGTACTGACAACTTTTCAGTTTATCGGACAAATGAAGCATCGTGGCTAGAGATGAACATTCTCACTGAGGGAACTGTGACAGGGGGAAGCAGAATGAATAGATTTTTATGGTGCTCTTCCCTTCCTGACCGGAAATTGACTCCCTATTGTGAAATATAACTGTTTGTATTTTTAAAAATTATGACTTATTTATGACTAGAATAACTAGAATATCCCTTATAGCCTGTGGAGACTGCTCACATTCCTTAGTCATTCCTTAGTTCTTTTTTTTTTCTGTTTTTCTCTCTCTTTTTTTTTTTGTTTTCTGTACCAACTGCAAACAATTTTATTGCACTTCTTTGATTAAGATTCATGGTCTACTTTCTTTAAATTTTTGTAGTATATATTTACAGTACATACTGTTTAACTCATTTTAAAGTGTAGGTACATGTATTTAACATCTTAATTCTTTCCCTTATAGCCTGTGGAGACTGCTCACATTCCTTAGTCATTCCTTAGTTCTTTTTTTTTTCTGTTTTTCTCTCTCTTTTTTTTTTTGTTTTCTGTACCAACTGCAAACAATTTTATTGCACTTCTTTGATTAAGATTCATGGTCTACTTTCTTTAAATTTTTGTAGTATATATTTACAGTACATACTGTTTAACTCATTTTAAAGTGTAGGTACATGTATTTAACATATCTTAATTCTTTTTTTTAATTGAGTTTATTGGTACATTCCTTAGTTCTTAAGCCCTTTTCTATTTGTTTAAATCCAGCAACATCGGATATTTTTATGAATATAACTCAGTAAATAGTAATCACATATAGGTAAACATATAAAGAATTTCTTATTCACACTACGTGTATTTGGTTTCTGTTGAAACATAAAAAGTCCATTTGAACGAAATGGAGGGAAGACAAAAGAATTGCTTATTCCAAGTCTTTGTCTTCTGTAGAATAAGCATCATGAACCATGACCATAGCCTGTGTTTTTCAAAATTTGTATTTTGCGAAGGTTATATTTTTCTTTCAAAATTTCAGTGCTTCTTAATGACAGATGTTTGTTAAATAATTGTTATAATAAGGAGAATAAAATCCTTTTGAGGAGGATTATAGAGAAATCAGATTCAAAACAAGCTCCCTGAGTTTAAAGATGGGTTGTAGATGAGAGAAGTTGGCCCAAAGCGTAAAGCAAGCCCCACCTACTTTGGAGCACTTTCTCTACATGACTGATCCCGAGAGACTTTCATCAAAACTTTGTTTTAATGGAGTACAGTTTAAATATTGGATCTAGAAGATATTGTGGGAATGATTTTAACTTTTCATTATATAAATGTACTAAGGTAAACCATAATATATCCAATATCATCACATTGTATAGTGGGAAAATAAAAAATCATAATAAAAATATTCAGTAAATCATAATAAAAATATCAGTTCTATTTGTAAGGTTAATTCCTTTTTGTAACTTCCCGTATTCTAAGGTCTAGGAGTTAGGGTGTGTATTGTCTTGAGGGCCATTATTCTGCCCATAAAATATAGTAACAGCTTAATTAAAATTGTAATTTGAAATCTTTCTTTTCCTAATTGTTTAAAAATATCAAAAAGCATATTAAGCAAATATTTCATGTGTCTTTTCATAATATGTATTTTTATTCATTAAGTTTATTGGTATATTTTAAGTATACAATATGATGCCATTCATCATTAGGAATTTGTACCTTTATGTGATATATCTTGGTTCTATTTCTTTTATTTTAAAACTTTATTTAAAGAAATTTGTACAGAAAAGAGTTGCATAAAGATTCTGAACACTCACCTTTCCATCCCAGCTAGTTAGCTATATCCCTGAAAAATTATTCCAGCTCTTAGAACTCATTTCTTTTAGACCAAAGAGTCAGGGAGTGAGTAATGAAGTCACTTATAAAGTTCTGTAACTCTAGGACGAGCCTATGCCTGTCACTTGGAAGCACATATGGCATAGTACACGCCTCAATACATTGTTTAGTTTAATATGCATAGTAAAAGTATCAGAATATACTGAAAACAAAGGCTTTTGAAAAACATTACTTAAGAAATATTAAAAAGAGGATCTACTCACCTTTTCTAGAAGATTATTTTCCCTGTGCTTTAGAAATCAAACTTGAGGAAAAGTTTTAAAGTATTTTGCTGGAGTTTCCCAATATTTTCAGTCTAAAAATTTATTTTGATAGGACCAAAGACTTTGTAATAACCTACTTCATGAGAAGTAAAGCATATCCAATCAGAAGCATGCTAACTTATGGTGTACTTTGAGAATATGACACTCACGTGCAAGAGATCCCAGCCCTCATCTCTTCCCCTATTAACACATTTAACAATAAAATGAACCTATCTATCCCTCAGCTGAATTTGAATTTCAGACAAAGAACAAGTAACTTCATACAAATATGTTCCATACAATACTATATTGGGACTATCATTGAAAAAATATTGCTTGCTAATTTGAAGCTTAAATTTAGTTGTACTCCTGCATTTTATCTGTCAACCCCCAGAGGCAAGTTATGTCATCTCCAATTTTAGGATAAGCACAATCGAATGAAGACACTGAACAAGAGAACATGATGTCAGGACCAGGTGTTATAAGCAACCGTTCTGCAGTGACCTCCAGCGGCAGATCTGCGGTGACTGTTGCCTATGTTTATAAGGCGATTGATTCCAGGAGTGAAACCCTGTAGTGGGAATCCTCCTGGCAAGAAAGTTATGTGCAAAGCACATCATTCTGCATTTCATTTGGATCAGACTGCAGGGAGTCTGAGGACGTTACATGACAGCTTGCGGGTGGTCCACTGCTTTAGTATACACCGTTAGTTGGCCTGAGAAGAGCTGTGCTGCAGAATGGGTGCACAGCCTCACACAGATGGTCTGTATAGAAATATCTCTACCTTTCTGCAGTATTGAGAAAGATAAGAATTGCAAGGCTTTCTCAATTTTTTGGTGCCAGTTGAAATGTGGATGTGGCTTGACTAGCAGCCAGCACATCTCTCTCTCTCTCTCTCTCTCTCTCTCTCTCTCTCTCTCTCCTTTCTTTCTTCCTTCCTCCACCTTTCAATGGACTAGGACAGCTTGTTTCAGTGTCTCCCATGCTATCTATCAGTGTCCTCCCTGGCAATTAAACCATCATTCTGCACTCCAACATGAGTGCAGCCAGACAGTCAGCCTGAGGTATCTCCTCAGCTCTCATCCAGTCAGGAGATGCCACGCTGATGCCGTGCTGATGGAGGGATAGGGGCGGTCTGGAGTGGCTAAGATCAGGAAGGGAGGGATCTGAACCCCTTCTTTGCATACTTGACATAAATAGCGAGCTTTCAGTCCTGCCCTCATTGAAACAGGCCTGACTGCTACATTAAAAGCATTCCCCAACCATTCCTTGGATCTTAGTCTAGGAGTAGTCCTGGGTACTGATCTCATTGTGCTACAGGACAGGGTCTATTAAAATAAAGGCTCATTTTAGTATTCCTGTAAAACTGCTCATAATTTATTTCCAGGGTAATGTGAATTCCAAAAGTCCTATAAGCCTTTGGGGGTGGGGGTTAACCTCAGTAGTGTGGGCAAAGTGTTCCTTTCTGAATAAAGAGCTGTTGATATTAAAGAGTTCCAGGGACCAGCAGCCAACAGAGACTAGTGGAAGAGAACAGCACCCAGTACAGTTTACCTATGGTGTTCGGCATAAGCCAGCTTTGGGCAGTGACAGGCAGAAGCAGCCGTGACCTACAGTTGACTAAGTCAGCTGTTGGTACTCAGTACTACTTGGTGTCCCTCACACCAATTCTGCTAGCAGTGTTGTACTTTGCTGATTCATGATTTCCATCTGAATTAAGCAAAAACAATCTTAGGCTGATGGGCAAGAGTATGAAGAAACTTCATCAGAGGCACACTGCTTAGATAGCATGCAGATGTTAGGAAGCTGGCTTTTAGTATCTGTTCAGTGAAAAAGCAAACCCATTTGTGGATTTGCAAAACTTTTATGAATTCTGTAGCTCTTATATTTTTACAAATGAGAAAATAGAATCTCAAGCAGTTTAATTGAGATCAGACTCTAATTTTCCACACTTCTATTTCAGACTTATTTCAATAGCAAAAGCAACTGGCTTAAGAGTAAGAGCACAGACTAAGGAAGGACTTCCTGGATTCAGATTTTCAGCCTGTCAGTAACAGCTGTGTAAACCTGAAGAACTTCTTAGCCTCTCTGTGCCTCAGTTTAGCATCTATGAAGGATCAGTATTGCTCCAGTTGTGAGAATTAAACAATTTAACATAGACAGAGTATGTAGAATTGAGTCTATGCATAGTGAACCCCTGTCTATATGGGGAAGGATTATTGTTGCATGAGGTTGTAGCCCTAAATAACAATACCCAAGGAGATATGGGAATTTATGTAGCATTCTTTGACTTCATTATCTTTAAAAGCTAAATTTCCTAGCTACACATTACTGTATTTTAGATGACAATTAAATATATCTTTCTCAGGTGATCCTCATAATAGACTTTACAGTTTCTGCTGCTTATATGGGAGAATAAGAATAGAATGCAGACATCAGATTTCATTTGAAAGAGTATAGAAATCACGGTAGGGAAACCACAATTGTAACTTGCTAGCACCAGAAAGCACAATTTGACAGCCTGTTCATAAATGTATGTTTTTGGGCCAGGGATTTAGCTCAGTGGTTCCATCGCCTGCCTCACAAATGCAAGGACCTGAGTTCCATCGCCAATACCAAATAAATAAATAAATAAATAAATAAATAAATAAATAAATAAATAAATAAATAAATAAATGTATGTTCTGAGACCAACTTTTTTTCACTCTCGATTCTTATTTAAATCTAAAAAGCAGGATCTTAACAACAAGTAGTCTGATAAATTTATCTCTGTGGTGGAGGTAATGATGGTTCCAAGGCTATGTAGAATATGTTAGAGATCCAGGCATGGTGGTGCATGCCTGTAATCTCAGCACTCAGGAGGCTGAGAGAGGAGGATCACTGAAGGAGTTCCAGGCCAGCCTCAGCTGCACAGTGAGTTCGAGGCTGGCCTGCACTACCTAGCAAGACCCTGTCTCGAAAAGCAAAGCAAAACAAAACAAAACAACCAAAACAAACACACAAAAAAAATAAAATGAATGCTGATATTTAACTAAAACAATATGAGGTGGTGTTTTCTGCTCAGAGATTCAATATCGATACCTACCAAACTGACGAAGGTCCAGGCAGAGATTGGCCCCCTCCACCAGGGTAGTGTTCCGGCAGATGGTCCACACGTTGAAGTACATGTACACGGGAAGGGAAGTAAAAGCTGTGACTCCCAGCCAGGCCAGCATGAAGAGGTACGTCAGCAGAATAAACTGCACGGAGCAAAAAGGGAGAGAGCGTCATCCGCTGGGCAGGAAGTGTCAATCCATCAGCAAAGCTCAATACTGTCCATAAGACTTTTTTAGTACAGAATTGATTTTCACAACACTCTTAGGGACTGCAGGACAAAAAATTGAGAAACAGTGGGTTATGTGAATAGATCAACATGAAAAATCACATCTTGTACCTGCATGAATGACCGCTTCATTTATGAACTTTAAAAGTCACATTTATTTAAAGTTTAGAAAATAGTAGCTGGGGATTCTAGAAAATGGAGAATTTTGCTGAAAAAAATTATAAATAAATAAAGATGCCGTGAAGAAATTTGTATTAGTAACATTCCTCCTTGTTTTACTGTTCAAAAGTATAAAAATATGTGGAAATACATACACCATTGAGTATTAATAAGTTTTGGTTTTTGGTACTGGGGATTGAACTTGGGACCTTACACTTGCAAGGCAGGCAGCGGAACCACTGAGATAAATCCCTGGCCCAACATTGAGGATTAAAACATACTGCATGTAGTAAGCATTTTGCTTGCCTGTGCAAGAAGACAATTTTTGTTGTATGTACTTTATTTCTCCCAGAATGAAGAAAATGAAGCACATTTATAGCTGAAACTCACTGAGCAATTTGGAAGCCAGCTCAGAATTACTCTTTTCTCAAAGCCTTCCATATGCTATAATATCATTTCTTCTGCACCCAGTCAAGGTGAGAAAGATCTGCTAAGTTTCAATGTATGGGTAAGTATGCTACAAGTGACAATACCTATGTTCTATGATGCAAAAAACTCCCACATTTTACCATGTGATTGTAACATATAAAGATAAAGTTCTGTTTACTTATTTTAAAAGCTTTGATGTGACAGTGTGTCCCTTGCCTAAATGTACAATTATTTCGCAAAAGTTCTTATATTGATTAAAGGCACAAGCTTTTAAACTGGTTGAGTGTAGGCTGTTCTTTGGGTCTCTACTCTTGCCTTTACAAAATAGAAAAAAAACTCTAAATGGACCTCACATGTTCCAGTGAGGATTTAACAAAATAATACATTAAAAAAATAATTTAACCTAGAAACCTGATACACAAAAGGCATTAGCAAAATATTGGGTGTTTTCATTTTTTTGGGGACTTTGATGAAAGTTTATTGGCACATTTTAGGTATACAATATAATTACATTCATCATTGGGATCTTGTACTTCACATGACTTAGTTCTTATTTTTTCCCATCCCCCAGCCCTCCCTTCAGGTGTTTTCATTTTTGATAGATTTAATTTCATGTTGGGAGAAATTTAAAAACGAGGAACTCTTGTATCTAGAAAATTAATTCAATGTATGCTCTCTCTCCAGACAAAAAAGCTTCAAAATTCTTGGAAACCATGCCACATGTGAAGAAATTCAGTTAACAGAACTCCTTTGGGAGAAAATGTTTCTTTTATTAACATTTTAAGTTCCTGCAATTATAGATCTCAGGCGTAATGTCTGAAGAACAATGACATAATACGGCTTCCTAAAACACAACTTTGTAGTAGAAAAAATTATGAAGTCCATGGGATAGTAATCAACATATTTTGGGCCTAGCCTCTCTATCTTGTTCTTTTTTATACCATGGGGAATTTTTAAATAGATTCTTCCAAAGGTGCTGTTTATCATGCAATGAGACTCCTGAGTCAGTAGGTTCAGATTTAAAATCAGTCGTAACACTCTGAACCCTGTTGATGCCTCTACTTCACAAGAAAAGAAAGTATGATTTTTGAAACCAGAGTACTCACTTATTTTTTCTTTCTTCTGTAAGTGCTAATGTTTTAGCAAATTAATAAAGCTGGTTGTTACAGAATAAATCACTGCAGTGAGAAAATATTTTCTTTGGAGTAAATGTGTAAGGTTTGTGCCAAAGAAAATTAAAACAGATTTTGCTTCTGAATTTTGACTGCAAACTAGTTATATTTCAGGGAGATGTTCATAGTCATGAAAGTATCTAAATTAAAACGCCAAAAAATATAATTATATTTTTCTATTTTCTATTTTATTTTATAATCAGATATTTTCTAAAGTTGGAAATTGTTCAAATTAGTCATGCATAGTCCTACTTAGAAACTCTTTAAATGCAATAAGTGAAATATCTTGTAATTATAAATCTATCCTGGCTTTGTATTACTGGTCATATTACAGATACGTATTTTGCCATCTGAATATCAATAAATTAATAAACTACGCTTGATTAGAAAACTTGAGTTTATAAAACCTTTTTCTGATTTCAAAAGCACTTTGTACATAAACATTACCTACAGAGTCACTAATCTCTATTTTAGAGAAAATACTTCTGAAGTTGAACTTTAATATTTGTTTGGGGAGCACAGTGGGGGAAAAAATAACTAGGAAGAAATTATAAAAATATTGCAGGAAATCAGATGACCTGGCCAGAATTTTATGACATGATTTAACCCCTCTTAGCCACTTCATCATTTGGAAACTAGAAGTTAGAAAACGTCTCTCATCTAGATATGAATGTAAACAAAAGTGAAGATTCTTTATACATTCACTTAGCAGTGAACATGATCTACAGAAAGCACAATGTGAAGAGGTTGTTTCCCTTAGCACGAACTATTTTGTACTTTGAAAGGTTATATGTAGACAAGAAGGAAACTGTTTTATGTGTCACTGGATGTTTATTACTTTGCGTAGGCACTGGACTTTTAATGTGTGGTAGTTCCAGGAAGGAAGCATGATACTGTCAAAGTTATAAAGCAGCCTCTTGGCTTTCTTAATTTTTTAGGAATATTAAAATACATATTAATTAATATTACATAAAATACTATTATAAAACTATTTCCTCCTGACTCACAAGGAAAAATATTGAGTAGAATTTCCTTATTTTGAATTATATTAATTGATTGATCTTTGATAGTAAAATTGTTATAAAACAGTAGGAAGAGATGTCAAGGATTTAACCAATGTCTATAAGATTCCATCATCATATCCCTATTTTTATCAACATTTCACCAGAACATGCAAGTGATTGTTAAAACAAAAACCTTCAAGTTCCTATATTTCTTATTACTTAATATAAATTCATGGAAGACTGACTTACCATATATTAGCATTAAACTAAAAATTTGTATGAATTTTTATAGCTTGAAAGTAAATTAAGAAACATGTATATTGCTTTAATGTAAACCCAAATATTCTATCATTGGTAAAATTTATAGAGAAATTAAAACAGAATAGCAAGAGATAAGATTTTCATATTCTGTGACAAGGCTATTTATTATTGCTTCTTGTTTACGTAGCTCCTGAGACTGTATTGCAGTTAACGTGAAATGATTTATAAAAGGAAATTAAGTTTAAATACAAATACCTGTGAATTTAGATTTAATGTCTAAGGAAATACAATTTTCTTCAACTATATATTTTCTGTGGAGATTTTAGCAGATGTGGGTCAATAGATGTAAAAATCACACATTGGAAGGAAGTTAGTAGCAGTGAAGAAAAGAATTCAGTTACAAAAGTCAAATTCTAAAAGTCTCTGAGTCTGGAAATGGCCCAACTGCTGAAGAAAATATGTTACTTATTAAAGGAAGTGTTCTGATGAAATTAATTTCAGGTATAAGAAAGATTTAAACTTCAGTGAGTTGAACAAAATGAAACCTATTCATATATTGAAAGTCCCCTTTTAAGAAAGAAATAAAGATATCAAAATTGGACACAGGTCACTGTTTATAAGATACTCTTTTCATTAACTGCTTCAAGGAATTGGTATGAAAATAGTTTACAGAAGCTTAGAACCCTATACGGCACCACAGTATACTTTTAATGATATTTCTCATCTTGGGGTGGGTTTAATAAGTTTCAATCCTATGGCATTTCCAGTTCAACAACAAAAGGAAACCTCTTCAGATTTCATCAAATGTAAAAATAGCTGAAAGTTTAAAGATCCTATGATCAAGTAGACATTGAATTGAGAAAGTGCACCTTCTTATAGTGGTTTTCAACCTAGGCAACACATAAGGATCATCTGAGTAATAATGTGAAAGAGAAAGAGTTGCTTAGGCCTTTAGTGTGCCAATTATATCTGTCTTGAAAATTTCTGCAGGTGATTCTAATGGGTACCCAATGTTATGAGCATCTACTTTAGTGAAGTAGAAAATTTCATGAGTATACCTGATGTGAAGGCTTCTTTGACCTTCATCATTAAACTCTAGAGCTTAGTCTTAAAAATGAAAATGATAAACAGATCATGTGCCACAAATATATGCTAATTTCATTGAAAGAGTCACTTTTATGGATAAGTAGGCTACTGTACTTGAGCTAAATATCTCAATCAGGATTTATCCAATTTGGCACTACCAAAATTTGAAACCAGATAATTTTTGCTATGAGGACTTTTGCTATGAGGACTTTTGGAAACAACACCGTCTTCTACCCACTAGTTGTTTGTTATGGAAAAAAAATCTCAAGATGTGCAGAAGGTAAAATTGTCTCTAGGTGACAATAAATAAATAAAAATAAATCAAATAAATATGTTATTATTCCAAATGCAAAGTAGCATAGCAAAAGTATTAAAGTCCGCTCTATAAATTATGTAGGTATCGCTTAATGCAAAAATTACTGTCATTATGTGAATTACTTGAAAATATGCAATTTTATCATCCTCATCGCTATACATATTATGGCCCAAATTACCTGTACAAGAAGTTGTAATCAGAAAATATTTCTTAAAATGATTCATTTTGTTTATAACAACTTTATTCACAATTGTCCAATTTGAAAGCTTTCAAGATGTACTTCAGTAGGTGTATAAGCTATGGTACATCCAGATAATAGATGAAATATTAGTACTAAAAAAGAAAGGAAAGCAGAAGCCATAAAAAGACATAAAGAAATCCACACATTTACAGCCAAGACTTTTGACAAAAGTGCCAAGAACTGTCTTTTCAGTAGAGGCGCTGGGAAAATTGGATTCTACATGCAGAAAAATAAAATTAAATCATTATC